CTATAGATCTTCCATATACTTCCAGCTAGCTCAAGGTTCCTTATAATACTGACTGTAGTCGAAATGCTATATAAAGTACTATTATTTAGGGAATAATCACTCAAAAAGGCTGTACATGTTTAGTATGGACAATTTTGTTTTGTCTTGTCTTGCTACTATTTGTGCTGAGACAGTTTCACCACAGGGTACAAATGGTCCACCCATTCTTCCCACTATCTCTTCCTACCCAGAGCTGGGAGGTAAGGGTGGCCTTTTTGTTTTTTATCTTGTGTGTGTGTGTCTTAAATTTTAAAAGGTTATTTATATTTTCATTCATGTGCATGTCTGTCAGTGAGTATATGCCATGTGTGTTCACGGAGACCTCTGGTTCCCTGAACTGGAGTTATAAGCAGTTCTGGAAATCTGAGTTCTAGAAATCAGACTCAGATCTCCGAACTACTGAACCACCTTTCTAGCTCCTAAGACTATTTTTAAATCACACTGACAGGATTTTTGGATGTGGAAGGCTAGTGGTACTTAATATGTTATGAGTAAATACCAAATGATTTTGCGTGGCTGGAAGAAATCCATACCCCAGTGCCGCCCTCCTCCTTGCGTGGGAGAAAGGCAGGAAAAGACGGCTGTTGGAGTGGCGTGAGCCCAGACTGCTTTCTTCTTGCCTCACAAGTAGTGCTTTTCAAAGCACTTGGCGTCCCTGCTGCATGGATGTGTCACTGTGAGATGGCAACAGGCTTTGCTGGGAATGTGGGCTACTATTGTATCCGCCTTACGTAACCACGTGGAGTGGTGGAAATGGGTGAGCAGCCCAGAAGGTAGGCAGTGGCCAGCCCTGACTCTGCGGAGCCATGAGGGCTGCTCAGGTCCTCCAGAGGATGTGGATCCAGGCAGTTAAAAAGTTGGAGAGATGGAAAGGCCATGTGAGTCCTTTTTAAAGCTTCCCCCTTTCTTTCTCCTGCTTTCTCTGCCGGAGGGGAACAAGCCCTTCACACAGTGGCACAGTGACTCCTTTATCCTCCGATTTATTTGTGTCTTGGCAGCTTTCAGTAACAAATTGTGAGATTGCAGAATGTGGCTTGCGGTCAATGGTAGAATTTGAAATACTCGTCTTATTTTGAACAGACCTAGGTGAAATTGATAGCCAGTTTACTGGATTCACGAGTCAAAGGCTGCCGTTTCTCATGTGTCAGAAATCTCTGCAAAGCTTGGCTTCTTGGGTACAGGTTAACATACCACTTTGTGTGTATTAGAGAATTTTATGTTTCGGATCAAACACTTAACCTTATCCTGTAGAAGCCTGTATCCCTATGTGGGGGCTTCCACATCACAGGAGAGATTTCTCTCATTACTTTTAGCATACAGGGCAGTGTGGCATGGGTATTTGTTGTGTGCTCCTAACAAGCAGCTTGGGATGAATCTTCGTTCTCACTGGGAAGCAGATCTGGACACAGAGCTTAAACGTTGGCTGTTCAGAGTTGCTACAGGTAGTCAAGACTTAGTTATCTGCCTGTGGTTGTTTTTAAATATTTCCTTTTGTGTGCATTGGGAGGCGGAGTGCATGTGTGTGTAAAGGGGCTTGTGAGGCAGAGTACATGTGTGTGTATAGGGGCTTGTGTGTGGAGTCTAGGGTTCCTAGTGTGGACCCTCAGGAGCTGGTGTTTGAGACAGGGTCTCATAGAGCCGGGAACTTGCCACATCGGCTAGACCTGCTAGTTATCGGGTCCTTCTGTCTGCAGCTGCCCAGTGCTGGGGATTACTGGGTGATGTTTTCCCCTCAATTCTAGGGATTGAACGCAGGTCCCTATGGTTGTGCCACAAGCACTTTTACCAACCGAATTGTCTTCCCATGCTTAAAGGACAGTTATCTGTTTGGTCAAGGTTTTCCCAAGAAAATGAGCTCTGCAAAAGGCATACAAATAACAGACCGAGTAACTCCCTGACCCAGGTCAGGGCCATTCTTAAAATAACCTATACAAAGAGCTCCCTATCTGCAGTAGGTCACATAGTTCCAAACTTCTAGGAATGACTTGTTCTAGCAAGGAGGGTGGTACTGTTAATGTTCCTTCTGTGGAAAGTAAAGTCATTGGAGAAAAATCACAGAGTGCATATGGAAGCTGCTTTCTGGTGGAGGAAATCTTACCCCCTGAGGTTGACAAGGTGCCTGGGCCTGTTGATGGAGTCCAGATCTTTGCTGAGATTGGGATGGCAGATCCTTCTGTGACTTCCCTGATCAAAATTCAATTCCACCTTTATTTTTCTAATAAAGTTGATTTTAGCTTTTAAAAAAGAAGAGGTGCTGAGGTGTGAGGCTCCCCCACTTCCCCCACCTCACCTTCCTCTCTGTCTCTGTACCTGTCCACCGCTCACACTGCGCCTACCTTCCTTCTCCCAGTAGAAGCTGCTTATATGCGCCTTGTCCCCCGCAGAATTGAAACTGTATTAAAACATCAAGAGCCAGGTACTACCTTGGATGTTATTTCCTCAGCGAGAAGTTGAGCATCTCTTGGTGTCCCATGCCCCATGCCACCTTACTATTGGACTGACAAAATGATTGGTATCTACAAAATGCTTATTAAATATTGAATGTATGATGCATTCTCCCATCCTCACAAGATGTAAAACTCAGTCCCACCTCTGCCTCCCTCCCGGGCCACTTCATCTTGAGTATGTTACAGTCTTTTGTTTTTTTTTTCTTCTTTTGGGATAGATTCTCACTGTGAGGCCCCGGCAGGTCCGAAAATCACAGTTTCTGTCTCTGCCTCATGAGTGCTGTGATTAAAGTCATATGTGTGTTATGACCAGCCTACTGTCATTAATTAAAATAGAGAAACTGGGCTGGGAGTATAACTCAGGGTAACACGTGCTACATGTATGTGCACAAGACCTTGGGTTTGATCCCCAACATGGCGGAAGAAAAGAACACCCCACCCTGACGTAAAGAAACATCAAAACAAAGCAAAAAAAAAATTAATGGTTATGCTAAACAAACAGTTTGTGGTAGGGCATGTTTCATTGTTTCTCCCTCAGCCTTTGAGAATCTGTGGATCCATGTGAGTTCTAAACTTCAGAACCCTGCCAGCCCCACTACCCCTGCCTAGTCCCATGCACGCCGAGAGCCACGACTTTGCCTGCCCTACTGCACCTTCTCACCTCCATATCTTTTTGACCCTAGATGTAATATAAATTGTAGTTTTTTTAATCTTTGAGAATTCTGATCTCCTGGAGCCAGATGGCATGAGCCATGGGAATGTCCCAGAATTGAGCACACTGGGAGCGGGAGGGAGGAGCAAGAGGCACAAATACCTCTCAGTCTGAGTAATCAGTTAAGTCACCCAGCAGTTGGCTGTTTCATCTTCTGTGCAAACAGAATTGTGGCTTCCTAACCTCCTGCTTCCAGAGGGAGTGGGTTACCTGGTCAAGTGTTACCAGTTGGCATCACTGTCTCTGTGAACAGGGAGAAACTCCATAATATCTGGATATTTTCCAGTGCCTGTTCATCTATATGATTATCAGTGCAGGATTAGCTTCCCGAAGCTTCTGACTCTCGGTCCTCTGTGTGACACCTCTCAGTTTCAGGCCTTGTGCTGTGTTCTGAATAGTCTCTCTGCATCTGTTTATGGCTGCTGTCTTCTGCTGCTGATAGTATGCGGTTCTTTACATTTTTAAAAATTATGTTTCAGATTTCTTTGCTTGGTTCTTCTGATGGTCTGTTGATCATGGATAACTATACTTTCAATGATGTCTTCTAATTTCTTAAAACATGAATTGTTTTACATACTTTTGGGTTGTTATTGATGTTTCTAATACGGCCATTGATCCCATAGTTTGTTTCTTGTAACTTTCACTGTGTGTGTGTGTGTATATCTTGTAACTTTAACTGTGTGTGTGTACACATGCATGTGTGGTGTGTACATGCATGTGCACATGAGTGCAAGTGAACTGTGAACTCAGGTTTCTTACATATCTGAGAGTTCTGTGAAGCCTTTGTTTAAACATGTCCCTTGGAGAGGAGCCTTGCATTTCCCATGTGGTTACATTATCAGTGCCACTTGACATGTTTTAGGAAGATGTGCAGCCACTTTCTGAATAGGACACATTTCCAAACCTGAATTTCACAAGCCCATTGATAGGAATTCTCCAGAGTGATACCTTCTAGTTATTTTCACACTATTTCTGATCTAGGCAAGTGTCTCTGTGGTCCCTGTGTTTAAGTATTTTTCCTCTACTGTAGCCCCTCTGATCATCTGTTCCTTTAGATGTTGTACTTCTCTCTCTGTATCTGCCTGCTTCAGCTTGCTAACTTGTCTGTAACATTGTACTCTCTCGACATTTCTAGCTTTCTTAAGACTACATGTGTTTAATGGATTGTTTAGTCTTAAAGTAGCACCACTGTATTAAGGCTCTCCTTGGAACATCTCTTGGAGTTGTGTTAGCAGAGGAAGTCTCAGAGCTCTGTTGTGTACCAGCTAATAATGAGGAAAAGCCAGAAGATTCCCCAGTTCATTCAGTTTGACATCCTACTGAATACAAGGCCAAGGGTTTCTTTAGTTTGAGATGTTAAAAAAAAATTGTCAAAAGGTCATTTTTGACAGCAGAGAGAGAAATGGGAAGATATTTTTAAATGCAGTTAAAATTTTGTTACGTTTTATTTAAGGTAGGTGTGTATTTATGAATCCGTGATCACTGTGGTGCATATGGGGAGGTCAGAGGACAACTTTCAGGCCTTGGTTCTTGCTGGCCCCCAAATGAGATGTTATTAACACCTAATCGGAGTGGTTGTAAAACAACTCAGAACTTAATCTCTTTTTAAGGCTTCTCACTACGTCTTTCATATAATATCTTAGTAACAAGACTATCCTTTCCTAGAAGGTCTTGTATGATTATAAGCAGGGTAAGATTTTGAGCAAATGCCTGCTCTTTTTAGCACGTGGAGAGTGTGAGCTGGAGTCAGTTTCTGGCATTGGGGTGTTCAGTGTTCTCATGTTGCCTTTGCTGTCACACAGGGCCCAGGCATGGAGGAGGTGATATGGGAGCAGTACACCGTGACGCTGCAGAAGGTGAGTTCTGCGTGCTCCGTGTAGCCTCCGCTTGACTTGGTGTTGCCCAGTTCATGGATGTTGCTCACTTTTGCCTTTAGAGGTTTGTTTTTAGTTTCTCTGAGGTAGGCAGGGCATTGTTGGAACTGGCTGGCAAATATGCCTGAAGAATGACAACCAGGGTTGTCCTCTGAGTTCCACATGCACACCCATGTACCCTCCAGACACAGATACACACTGTATACACAATCTACTCCCTACACACACACACACACACACACACACACACACACAATGACGCACAACTCTACCCCCTACACACAGAATGACACAACTCTACCTCCCCCACAATGACACACAGCCTACCCCCATTCACATACATGACACATAACCCTACCCCCTATACACAAACACAATGACACACAACTCTACATACACAGTGACACAACTACATACACATACATACACACATACATATACAATGACACAACTCTACCCCCCCACATGCACACACACTGACACACAACTCTACTCCCTCCATACAAAAAACTTTCTGTTTACTCTTTGCTTGGGATTGAAAGTAGAACACTACCTATATTTTTGTTTTTTAAAATCACCTCACAGATGTTTCCTTTTATTTTATTTTTTTTAGAAACTTTTTATTGATCCTTTGTACAATTCATACTAATCACCCCTGTCCCACTCATCTCCCTGTCCCTCCATATCTGCCTTCCGCCCCTGCAGTGTCCCCCCCACAAAGAAAACAAACACAAAATCTCGCTGTGGAAGTTGCTGTGTGTCACAGTATGTCACACGGTAACTCTTTTGCTCAAACAGCTTTTCTTGCAGATGTTGATTGCAGTGAGTCACTGCTCTGGTTCGAGGCCTCTGGCTTCTGCTACACTATCAGTACTGATCCCCACTGGGACTCCTCTCAGATAGTCCTGTTGTTGCCCTGTGTTGTGGAGACCCTGCAGCTCTGGTTCTGGAGGATCAGATCGTTCGTGAGCTCCAGCAGTTCAGAGATGGGCTAGATATTGGGATGGGTGAGCTCAAAGCCCTGGTTCTGGGCCTGGGTGGTAACTAAGTTGGTTACCCTGACAACTCTTCCTACACCCATGCCATTGGGGGCCAGCTCTCCCATACTGCCCAGGCCACACCCTCAGGGCTGGTCCACCTGTCCCCTTCCCTGTGTCCCCCCAACCCCCAGGATCAGTTCTTCTGTGCTGCCCAGGATGTTTGCCTCTCACCACCCACTCTCCTGAGTGCTGCAGCCAGTGAGGGATAGGGCCAGCTCTGCACAGCCCTCAGATATCAGCATGGCCCTAGGCGGCAGTCCAGACCTTCGCCTTTGTTGGTAACAGACTCCTACTGCTGCAGGGCCACAGACCCAAACATGGCCTTTGGTGGGAGTTCACCATGGCCTCAGGTGGCATCGTCAGTTATTTACGTCACTATCCTTGACTCTCTAGTCCTGTCTTCCCAGTGCACACACAGTTCAGCTTCCCTTTCTCTTCCCTCTCACCACCGACTTCCTCATCTTAGTGGCACCCAGGCCTCTCTTGTCTGGGGATGTCTCAGAAATGCTATTCCCCTCCTGTGCCTTATGGCGCTAGGTGGGAGTCCTCTCCAGATGTTACACCCCCACCCTCCTTTTGGTTTTTCGAGATAGAGAGTTTCTCTGTGTAACAGCCCTGGCTGTCCTGGACTTGTTTGTTAACAAGGGTGGCCTTTGAACTCACAGAGATCTACCTGCTGTTATCTCTGCCTCCTGAGTGATGCCACTTCAACTGGCCCCAGAGGTTATCCTTTTTGATTAAATGAGGGAATACATGCAGCTTCTTTCATTCCATAGATGCTGCCATGTATTTGCTCTTAATACATACATGTTATTTCTAATTTTTTCTATCCTGATAGGTATTATTAGCCCACTCTGTGTGTTGTTTGCTTGTGCTGATTACTCTAGAACTGCAATCAGTCATGCCCTCATTCCCAAATACATGTGCATACACACACACACACACACACACACACACACACACACGGTCTCACACTCTAGGCAAGCCTGCTTCTGCCCTACCTCACAGGCAGTCAGCTTGTCTTTTACAGTCTGTATCTGAGCAACCTGCCCCAATCCTGGCAGCAAGCTGTGGGCATCAGTGTGCATTTCTGGGCTCCACAGAGATCATCCTGCTCCGAATCTAAGTTCTGTGACATTGTAGAAAGATGCTCAGTTCCTCAAAGGGAGAACTTTCCTTTGACTCTTAGAACTTCATCACTGGATCAGTGTCCATATTCCAGATCGGTTATTACAGATTCTTCAGTTGCCGTTTACCCGTTTAATTCCAGACATTTCTCTAATTCTCATCTGTGCCCTTTTTACCAGAGATCATGTTTCCCTTGAGATGTGGTCCACAGATTGCAAAAATAAGGGATCTGAGGCTTGGTTTAGAAGATGGAACTGCCTCTTTCTAAAACCAGGTCCCAGGTGTTGGTGTTGGCAAGTCCGAAGCCATAGAGAGAGAGGGTCCCTATTGTGGGGTTTAGCCTTTTAAACACCGAAGTAAGATTATACATTTCCTAGGTTCACTTGTATGCATTGCTGAATCAATTATGGATCATAAAACTTTATTTCCCATCTTGTTTGAACATTGGGAAGCATTTCGTGCTTTACTCTTTCTAAGATCACAATACTGGCTTTTTGTTTATTTATCTTATTAAATGTTTTAGTTGTGTATGTACTTTCGTACTCTCATGCCACGGCCCTTTGTGAGGTCTGAGGATATGTGGACGTGATTTATTTTCACCACGTGGGTCTCAGGGATTGAGTTTAGGTTGTTAGACTTGGTTGCAAGCTCCTTTGTCCACTAGAGTTTCTTCCCGTTGAGTCCCAGCTTCATAACAGCAGCTTTCTGTTTGGGTTTAGGTTTCATTTTTAAAGTCAGTGAGGTTCTTTTAACTCTAATTTAAAATATAATTGCCGTCTCTTCTAACTTGAATGTAAAGATATGCCATAGCGCTGTTGCTTGTTTTTTGACAAGGGGTCTCATGTAGACCTGGCCAGACTCCAGTACACCATGTAATCATGGCGAACCTTGGATTCCTGATTCTGTTTCCTCCACCTCCCAAGTACTGGAATTACAGGCATGGGCACATTCATCTGAAGATAGAGTTTAAAAATACATTTTCACACAGAATCAATTTTTATTGAGGTCGTTCCAGCTCAGATCAAACGATGCTGTGAATGGATCTGCCTGGCATTAAAACAGCACATCCCTGTTTAGACAAAAGACTGCCTTTTGCGCTAATATCAGCCTGGGGTGTCAATCTTTTCTGCCTTCCACAAGGCTGCTCCCTTAGATAAGCAGGTTCCCTTTAGGAACCTGTCAGCCGACCACAGCGTGCGGCTTTATTTTGTTTTTCATTTGTTTCTGTAAGCCCATCTGTTCCTGAGCTGTCTCTGGTTATTGATTTGACCTTTATTTTATTGAGTGCTTGTAATAAATCCTGAAAGCCACTTATGGAAGGATTTTTTTTTCATACAGTTTTCTTTTTCTTCTTCTAATTCTAATGAACAGGATTCTAAAAGAGGATTTGGAATTGCAGTGTCGGGAGGCAGAGACAACCCCCACTTTGAAAATGGGGAGACGTCAATCGTCATTTCAGATGTGCTCCCAGGTGGACCTGCTGATGGCTTGCTTCAGTAAGTGTCCTCAAGCTCACCTCGCCCCCAGCCCTACACTCGGACACTTGATGGGGGTGTTCTGATGGTTGTGCTCATTTATGTTTGAAGTCTTTGAGTGAGAATCAGGATCACAGCTAATACATTATGCCTTAACAGTCACTTAACTTTGGGGAACATCTAGACTTGGAAGAGGGAAATCCTGTGTGTGGAACCTCCTGCTTCCCATAGGGAGGCAGTGAGAACCATCACTTGGGGGTTTGGAACCTCGTAAATGTTCTGTTTCCTTCCCCCCACCCCCCTTACTTTGTTGACATTGTCTGTAGCCCAGGCTAGTCTCCCAATTCTCTACATGGATGACTTTGAATTCTAGGTCTTTTGCCTCTGCTTCCCATGTGCTGGGCTTACACCACCACACACCATTTATACAGTTCTGGGGACTGGACCCAGGGCTTCTTGGGTGCTAGACAAACATACCAATTGAGCTACAGTCTCAGACTTTGGGAACCATTTCTGTATGGGTAGCTTATATTACCATACTTAAGAAAATAATTTAAGAGAAGCACTTATCTATTTTGACTCCTCTTCTCAGAGAGTTTAACCTGTTGTGAAAGGAGAATGTTCTAGAACAGTGCAGCTAATGACATGGTGGCTGGGCAGCAGAGAACAGGAAACACAGAGACAATACCTGCCCTTCCTGTCTTTCTTCTTTATTTCCTCAAGCACATAGGATGGGGGTCACCCATATCAGGGTGGGTCTAGCACCCCTTCATTCTCTTGAAAACATCCCCACACACTAAGAGAGAGCTTTACTAACCTTCTGGGTGCTTTTCAATCCAACCTAGTTGTCAGAATTGCCCACCTCAGTTCCCACAATTCTCAGTGGGAATTGAGTTTTTATACATGTCTTAGTAGATATTATTTCAGAATTTAATGAACATGGCTAGGAATGTACCTCAGTAGTAGAGCACTTAGTCTTGGGTTAATCTTTAGCAGAATTCCCCCAAATAAAAACCTGACTAATATCCCCCCCCAACAGATTTTAATAGGAAATTTCATGATAGTTAAACCCAAGTTATCTGTCAGCCTTCTGAAGAGATAACCTACTTTAAAAGATAGATTCTGAATCCTATCAGGAAAGAGTTTAAAGCCGGTTTCTGTGGCTTCATCAGCCAGATCATTCAAAAGTTGAATTTGTGTGAGATTTAGGATCTCTGTGTTCCTATCCTATTAGTTGATAGTCTTATCAAAATTAGTCTCTTATTTAGAGTAATATGAAATTTTAAGATAACATTGGATGAGCCTGAGTAATAAATAAGATTCTGTGATTTTTTTTTTTTTTTAAAGTTTCTTTGAGAATCTTGAGGCAAAGAAGCCAGGCCTGATTGTACTCATTTGTAATCAACATATTCAGGAAATGGAGCCAGACACAGAATGATTAGTTACAGTCATGGCTGGCAAAACAGTGAATTAAAAGCCAGCTTGGCCTACATGAGACCCTTTCTCTAAATAGTAAAAGAATCTGAGGCAAGCTTTTGACCTCTTTCCCTGCCAACATTACACAGATGGATGTGTACCTATTTCAGAGCTTACAAGAAGGCTTTTGCAGCACCTAGGACTGTCACTCAATTCCTATTGCTGTCCAGGCTGATTCAGGCTTTCTGGAGTGACCCCATGGTCTGGATAGGACAGGCCTTTTACACAAACACGGTGGTTCTTAATAAGCATCCAGAAGTAGACCACGTGGCTTCTGGTTTCTTGAGCATGTAGCCTCCGGTTTCTTACCTCTGAAGAGCTCAGACCAAGTTGGCCTGACTTGTAAGCCATTGCACCCTCAGTCCCTTACTTAATAAGCTTCTCGGGCTCATCTGCTGCTTTTGTTCTCTCCCCAGGGTTCAGGATGACTGATGCTTGTTTTTTGTTCACAGAGAAAACGACAGGGTGGTCATGGTCAACGGCACTCCCATGGAGGATGTGCTCCATTCATTTGCCGTTCAGCAGCTTAGGAAAAGTGGGAAAGTTGCAGCCATCGTAAGTCTTGGGAGGGCACTCAGTGTGGTATATGCATGCAAGCCAACAACCTTACACATAAACTGTAAATAAATTTAAAAATCGTCAAAAAAATTTTTTTTTAGTTTATCAGAACATAAAGGGGCTGAAGAGGTGGTTCTGTGACTAAGAGTCCATATCGTTCTTGCAGAGGATCTGAATTTAACTCTAGAACATTTGTTTTCTGTGCCCAAAGAAGACAACCATTTGCTTCTGAGCATTTGGACAGAGTTATATGACCTAGGGCCAGCATACTTGCAGCTTTGATGGTTTTCTAGGTTGGTGTTACAGATGTGGTGGAGCTGTGTCCAGGTTAACCTGTTGAGGAAGGTTGCAAGCATCCTACCTAATGACTACTAAGGCATCTCCTAAGAATAGGGCCATCCCAACAACAAACCCAAGAACACCAGTAGCTGTGCAGTACCATCTGATGCCCACTCCACAGCTCAGCATGGCTTAGACATGTCTTCTCAGGTCCACGGTACCTACGGTCCTTTTTAGTCTAGAAGGGTACCTTCCCCCTCACCCCTCTCTTCCTGTAACACGCTCAGGAATGTCAGCAATTATATACAGAATATCTCATTTCCTGGCTGTTCACTTGACATCCATGAACTGACCAGAGCCTTTGGGGCTTTGCTTTCTTGGTCAGAAGTGGATTTGGAGGTTTTCAAAAGCAGTGTATTCACATCTGCAGTCGTTTTTCTCTTATTCTAACGTAGTGAGGTTTACTGTCCTTGGATCCGTGCAAGGGTTTGGAGGATCGACAGGGATATAGATGTTTAAGGGATCTAAGTTTTTTTTTTTTCTTGTTTGTTTTGTTTTTGTATGACTCCCACCCCCACCCTCCTCACACACACTGAGACTAGAGAGGGACAATTTTGTTAAAACAGGCCCACTGCCTACCCAGGTGTCTCTGTACTGTCCTGCATCATCTACTCTGTTTGTCTGAATAGGTGGTCAAGAGGCCCCGGAAGGTTCAGGTGGCCCCGCTGCAGGGCAGCCCCCCTCTCAGTCATGATGACCGAGGTTTTGAAGTGATTGATGAATTTGATGGCAGAAGTTTCCGCAGCGGCTACAGTGAGAGGAGCCGGCACAGCAGCCATGATATGCTCAGTCACAGCTGGGACGACAGCAGGGAGAGGGGGCGAGCTCATCAGCGCACACAGAGCCGGGAGCGGGAGCGCAGCCGTGGCCGGAGTCTCGAACGTGGCCTGGACCACGAAGACTATGGGCGCAGCCGCGAGCGCAGCCGTGGCCGGAGCCTGGAGCGCGGTCTGGACCATGACACTGTGTCCCGGGACCACAGCCGTGGCCGTAGCATCGACAGGGACTACGACCGAGACTATGAGCGCTCCTATCATCAAACCTATGACCCTGACTACGAAGGTGGCTACAGCCCATCATATGACCGTAGAGCCCATCCAGAGACCCGCTATGAACGGAGCCGCAGCCGAGAACACCTACGTTCCCGAAGCCCCAGCCCCGAGTCTAGGTCCCGGCAGGAACACAAGGGCCAACATGATCCCGACAGGCCCATCGGGGTCCTTCTGACGAAAAGCAAAGCAAATGAAGGTAGGCACACATGATGTGGGGATGCAAGCAGTACCTGGCCAGGGTCACCTGGCGCTCAGCTGGCACCTGCCAGTGTTCAGTATCAACCTGAACTGGCCAGCACCCATGGGCTCATTTATTTATCATTGCTATAAGGGAGTCAGAGACGCAGAAGGGTCCCTTGATCAGGACGCAGTTGTCTCAGTGGCAAGGCCAGTTCTTAAGAGAGGTTCTCCTCCATACATGTTTGTAAAGGTAAGTTTTATTCACCCAGGTGATTTTGATTACTGCCTCCATATGTTAACCTAGGCCTAGTGCTGGAAGCGTCTAGCCTCTGTACAATCTAATCTAGGCCTAGAATATTTTCAGCCTCTGAGACTTACTGCTGAATAAGCTTACCCTTTCTAGTTCATTTTGAACTCTGGCTGGCTGGTTCAACTCAGTTGTTCTGGCTCAAACTCCTCTCCAACCTGACTGATTTGATCTGGCTTCTCTTAAATTTCTCACTGAATTGTTCTGCTTGGCCTCATACCAACTTCGGCAATCTGTTCTAATCTTCTGGCTCCTTCTCATTCTCTGGCTCTTTCTGTCTTCACCTGTGTCTAGCTTGTTCTCTCTGCAACCTGTCTCTGTAAAACTCTCCTAGGCAGAGAAAACTGCCTTTCTTTTTCCTCTCTCTGCACTGCCCCTTAAGTATTTTCCCTTTTCTCTCTCTTTTCATGAGAGTTGGGCATATCCTATTCTGTCAAAATTTTCTCTGATTCATCACTTTGTCTGCCTCTCAATTAGACACCACTTTCAAACACGGGTGCTTCCTTCTGCAAGCTAACTTTACCTTCATTGTTTAGGATTAGAGGTGTGTGCTAAGAGCTGAGCTACACCATAGCCAGAAACAGGGCTTTTCAGCAAATAATGCAATCTTGGGGTTTACACTGTGATCAAACATCTTACAACACTTGCTAACTAAGTGAGAATTCTGAGTCTCCCACCAGCCCCCCGGAACCAGGAACTATGGGGTCTGGTGTGTGAACAGGCTTTTCTGGTGAGCCTGGTACGACTCTGTGTGGGAAAACAAGGCCAAAGCTTATCTTGATGGTATTCTGTTCTAGGTTGGGGGTAGTGTTAAGTAAACAGTCTTTTTCTTAATCCCCCTAAGAACCTGGGTGGTAGGAGACCTCATTCCTGTGTTACAGGTCAGGGGTTTCAGTATGTGTGTGGAAGCTGGCTCTGGCTTAGTCGGCTTCCCCCACACTGCATTCCTGGAGTCGTGGGCACAGTTAATCCCATCCAGGATTCATTAAATTCTGTGCAGTGAAGCTGTTGGTGCTGTTTGTATAGAGGAGGATTGTGAAGCAGACCAAGTGGGGAAGCTGGAACTCACCCTTAGCTGATCCGAAGCAAGGCGATGGACAGGAGTTGAGCCGTTTCCAATCTTGGGTCTTCCTACTTTTCAACTGTCTTATAATATAACCCTTGTCTCATTGATTCTATTACTAGTCAAAGAAGAAAAAGGCAAAGAACCTCTGACAATACAAAGTGGAAGATTCGTTCTTCTTTAGCTCGGGATTGGCATTGTGTAGTCGTAGATTTTAGACAAAAAGAGTCTGTTTTCTAAGTTTTCCCTACTTAAATAACTGGAGTGATGCAAGGTCAGTAATGGGGTACCAGGATCGTGAGGTGGGGTTATAAGCCAAGATTGTGCCATTGCTGAGGAGAGGAACATCCTAGTCAGCAACTTTGGGGACATGAAGATCTCACCGAATGTTTATAGCTATTAGTGAAGAGGTCCCCAAGCCCTTCAGTGGTCTCCAAGCCAGATCCAGATCAAAAGGTGGAGTACAGACAAGTTTTGAGGGAGAGCATCTGGCAGGAGACCTTCCAAGAAGTCTGACCCATTCTGAGGGACATCGCTTTTGAAACCTTTCCTTCTCATTTCCTGTTCCTCCTGTGCTGCTGTCATAGGAATAACCATATCATGCATTACAGAGACACCTTGTATGAGTCAGGGCTCTCTAAAGGATCAGAACCAATAGAATGAGCTTGTGTGTGACTGTGTCTTTGTCTGTGTGTATTATACATGTGTATGTAAAGGGATTCATTAGAGTGGTCACGGCCTGTGTCCTGATAGTCTTAACAATGATAGGCTCATGAAAGTCACAGAACCAAGCATCTGGCAGCTGTACAGTTCATGAGACTAGATGTCCTATCTCGGCAGTCACGATCTGCTAGACTCTGGGAGGTATTTAGTCTACACTGGAATCGGGCTGTACCAACAGGGGAAAATGAGCTTGCCAGGGGAAGCGAAAACAAGCAGACACAGAGGCAAGGCTTCCTTCTTCTGCCTTATTATGTGATGTAGCTTCCTAGAAGATGTAACTCAGATTTAGAGTGTCTTTTCACGTCAAACAATACAATTAGGAAAATTCCTCAATTTTCAACAAAATGACCAGCAGCTTGGGTTTTAGTTGATTGCAGATTTAGTCAAGTTGACACGCAAGATTAGCTACCATATGCCTACATACGAAAAGCTTAAAAGGAAATCTCATGGAATATTACTTACTCCGTGTGATGTACTGAGGCTTTCCATTGCAATGAAAATTTAAACTACTGTTAGAAACTCAGTAAATCAATTCAAGATCCATTAATGAATTGTGATGCATACTTGAAGGAGAGGCACCGTTGGGCTAGAGAGATGACTCAGTGCTTAGGCATGCTCAGTGTTCTTCCAGAGGGTCACAGTTGTTCCCAGCACCCATGTCAGACAGCTTACAAACTGCCTGTAACTCCAGCTCCAAGGGATCTGACGCCATTTTCTGGCCTCCAAAGGCACCCACACATCACCCCTCCCCCACAACACACACACACACACACACACACACACACACAGGGGAGTAAAAATGTAAATCTTCAAATAAAGTAAAAGGAAGGGATTATCCTATGAGATTGCCCAGGTCATAACTGACCTTGGTTAAGTACAGAAATAAAGGCCTTATGTTCCTCTTCTGATGGGCTGTTTTTCTTTTAACTATTTTGTTCTCCAAAATAGTTAAATAGAAATATTTAATAGTTAATAGAAGCTATTAAACAGCTTTTGTTGGTGATGAAGATCGAACCCAGGGCCAGTGTATGCCAGACAAGTGCTCTTGCCTGATTGCACTTTAAACAACAACAACAAGCACCCCTCCCCCCCATGATTTTCTTTACTTATGTTTAAGTGTATGGGTGTTTGTTTTGTTTGAATGTATAAAAGTAGACCTGGAGTGGTGGATATCTCTGAGCCACCATGTAGGTGCTAGGAATCGAACCTGAGTCCTCTGGAAGAACAGTCAGTGTTCTTATCCTTTGAGCCATCTCTCTAGCCCCTCCACTGAAAAACGTTATTGTCATTTATAATTTTGTCGATTGTGTACCACAATGTTTGCATGGTGCTCAAAAGACAACCCTGAGAGTCTGGTCTCTCCTTCCATTCTGTGGGTTCAGGGATTGAATTCACTTTAGGTTTGACAGCAATCACCTTTATTCACTGAGCTATTTTACTGGCCCTAATTTTACCTTTTATTTATTTATTTTTAAAAAGATATGTTTATTTTTATTTTATGTATGAATGTTTTGCATGCACGCATGTGCGCGCGTGTGTGTGTGTGTGTACCACATACATGCCTGGTTCCTGAGGAGATCAGAAGGGTGCATCAGATTCCCTGGAACAGGAGTTACAGATGGCTGTGAGCCACCACATGGGTGCTAGAAACTGAACGGGGTCCTCTGCGAGAGCATCAAATACTCTTGAATTGCTGAGCCTTCTTTCCAGCCCAGGATTCTACTTTCGTGCTCATAATTTATTTATTCACTTTACATCTGGATATCCACTCCCTCCCCCCTTCATGATTCCACTTTTTAAAAGAAAAAATTGGCTACCTTTTGCTACAGTTACCCAATTAATTAGGTATTTCTATAATTTAGCTATTTCTGGGCAAGTTACGTGAAAGTGGTTACATGAAAATGAATCTTGTAAGAAACAGCAGTAATAGGCAGGAGTGGCTCTAGATTAAGAATGAACACCGCCAGGTCCTGTCAACAGGCTCCTCGCTGGATTTCAAAGGTCATTAACTGTTTTTTTTTTGTTTTTTTTGTTTTTTGTTTGTTTTTTTAAATAAGAAGTGTTCCTACAGATCTGAGTGGACCTGTTTGCAGACACTCCTATGATAGGATGGGAACATTAAGCTGTCAGGACGATAGGTGAAATGTTGCCATGTAAGAAAAGTTAACCAGGTTTGTCTCCACCCTCTGCACCATCTGACCGTCCGTAGGAGAGATGCTGTAGCCCGAGGAGAGTGGGAGATGTGCCTCAGTACTTACTTTTCTTGTTGTTTGTGGTGCTAAAGATAAACCTAGAGCCTTGCAAAGGTCAGATGCTCACTGTACCACTGAGGACCATAGCAGCTAAGCACTTTGTATCTTTGTAATAAGATCCAATGCTAAGTTCACTGAAATTGATTTTTTAAAGACTATTACTTTTGTGACCACAAGAAGGTGCATTCTCTGAACCACTGTGCCATCTCTTCAGCCCGATGAAGGTGCATTTTCTATGCAGTAAAATTTTTTTTGAAGAAAGCGACTGTTTTGTAAGTGCAATTTTCCGTCAGAACACTAGTAGTAATAACTTAAAAACTGAATATGTTTGCTGTCAGACTGGCTTGACTGCGATGGTTTCAAAGTCACTACAATTCACCCTTAAAATCTGTCCTTTTACAGTTTAAAAAAATAAAATCAGAATAGTCTATAGAAGACTTGCAATATTAAAATGTGTGCATCCCTTCTGATTGCAACATTGTTTTTTCTTTTGAGAACAGTTCAAAGTGCTGCTGACACCCCCTGCCAGTGCTGGCCTTGCACCAGCTCAAACCTGGGCAGAGTGAACTGTCACAGAGACATAATGTTCACAGCTTCATGTGGGCAACCTTAGGGTCGGAGCAGACTGTTGTTACTGACTTTTTATTTGTTCAGACTTACACACACACACACACACACACACACACACACCCACCCTTTGACCAGTTAACATTTTTCAACATTATCTTCTTTGATCCTCCCTTGTTTGTTTGTCTGTTTGTTTGTTTTTTAAAGTTTTCTGAGCCAGTTGAGAATTCGTGTTCCATTCGTTCTTTGTCTTCTAGAGTATGGGCTCCGGCTCGGGAGTCAGATCTTCATCAAGGAAATGACCAGAACAGGATTGGCAACCAAAGATGGCAACCTTCATGAGGGGGACATAATTCTCAAGGTGAGTAAGACAAGGAGCAGCGTGTGCCTGTTGCATCTGCACCCGCACATCTGCACGCCTGCCAGGTCAGCATCTCTTAGTCTGAGGAGCGAGGTGGAGACAGGAGGAGCAGCCCGATGAGGTGATCTTTGTCATAAGAACACAAATAGACTGAGATATAAACAGGAGAGAGATATACAGAAGAGCCAGGCTGTTCCCCACTGCTTGTGAGCCCTGCTTCCTCTCTAGCCCCTGCCTCCTAAAAATTTAAAAAGGAAAAGGACAAATAAGCCTGAGGCTCTGTACTAATTTAGTAACAGAGGAAAAACTTGGAGGAATATTTCCCTTCTTCCTGTTGATTTAGGTTGAAGTTCCTGTTCCCCTACCAAGGAAAGAAGAGTCTGAGAGCCATTGAGCTACGATTGCCGAATGTTTGATAGGGTTTTTCAATAGGTTTTTTTTTTTTTTTGAGACTGGGTTTCTTTGTGTAGCCCTGGCTGCCATGGAACTCACTTCGTAGACCAGGCTGGCTTCAAACTCAGAGATCCACTTACTTCTGCCTCCCAAGTACTGGAATTAAAGGCATGTGCCACCACCAGCCAGCTATGTTTGATAGTTTAAAAAAAAAAAACCTCCCCAATCAGGAAGCATGTTCCAGCAGTAAACCAAGCTGTAGACTTGAACTTGGTTGTTAAGTAGATTAGCAGAGTAGCCTAAATATTACTCTGACTCCTTCCTTCATGCCTGTTCTGGGCATGTGTGGGTTACATGTAATTTGAAGGATAATTCACATTCATTAAGTCATCCTGAAGTCTGGTCTGAGTGTCTTAGCAAGTTCTCTCCAGCTCTATAAAGGGGAAATAAGAGTTTTGAACTTAGCTGTGAGCAGTTGTCCTGTATATGAATAACATCGCGCATTCTGGATTTGCTCAGATCAATGGAACTGTTACTGAGAACATGTCTCTAACGGATGCTCGGAAGCTAATAGAAAAGTCTCGAGGAAAACTGCAGCTTGTGGTGTTGAGAGACAGCAAGCAGACCCTCATCAACATCCCATCCCTAAACGACAGCGACTCTGAAGTGGAGGGTAAGAAGGAGCCTGTGTGCTGGGCTGGGTGTCAGGAGGTCAGACCCGTGGGGAAAGCCTTCCTTCAAGCCTTGATTCAAAAAGAGAAGTATTCCTGATGTATGTATGTATGTATGTATGTATGTATGTATGTATGTATGTATGTTTGTTTGTTTGTTTATTAAAGCATCTTTTGAAATTAGGTTTCTAGGAGGCAATTCTGCCACAGGTAATTAGGTCACTGAGAACAAAACTTACTAGTAAAAACAAAGCGCTCATGACCAGCTGATGAACTAAACATACCACTTACACATTTAATGTGTGCTCGTGCAGATACTGATAAAGTATAGACATTTGTGAGTCTTTAAAAATGACAGGAGCCAAGCATGGAAGAGCCTCTAATCTCTGAGCAGGCCTCAGAGTCAAGGCCAAACTGTCTAGCGTGGTTCAGGCTGTGGCCACACCTGTGCTCCTGGCTGTGTCTTCTTTCTCCATGAGGCCTTAGTGCCTAGTATCTGTGTTACAATCTCTTAATAAATTCCAACTCTGCTTAAGGAAAAAAAAAAGGGAGTTAGTATTCTGAGCTTTAGAAGGTGGCATGAAGTGTGTAGACACTACTAAACAGTCAGTCAGCATGGCTCAGAATTACAATAGTTGTTGCTTACTAATATATGTCCCTGTCCCTGGCTGTTTCTGTTTGTTTGGTTTGAAACTGGGATAAATGCATTTGTTCCAGCTCTTCATGTTTCTTGCAAGGGAAGGAATCAATTGCCCTTTCATATTGATAAACACCGAACTACAGGGACCAGCTCTAAATGTTTGCTAATAGTATAAAAATTGGTTATGAGGGCAGGTGTGGTGTGTTTGAGTTGCAGAGTTAGGATTACTGCCTTGCCGTCACAGGGTGTTTTAGAAAAGCAACATGATAAAGAAGTCAGTAAAAGGGTCCCTATACTCTCTCACATGTATCTCCTAAAAGCCATGCTATCTAGAGGATGGGTTCTTGTCTTTTAATACTTCCAGACTGGGGAAATAGCTCAGGAGGGGGCTTCTATCCTATGTACAAGCTCCTGGGGGCATGGCTCTATATCCCAGACCCCACAGTTGGCTGTCCCACTGGTCCCTTGTTTAAACTACTGGGTGAAAATAGCCTTGTGGAGTGGCAAAATGGCTCAGCAGGCCAAGACGCTTCCCTAAGATTGTTACTGTGCACCAACTTGCCTCTTTGAAAGTTCATTTCCTTTCCGGTCTAGCAGACGTCTAATCAGTTGGTCTGGACTGTGAATACAGGACAGGAAAGCAAAGCGATCAGAGCAACCCGGTGTGATGGTGTACATTTCATTTTCTTACTGTTCATCATGTGATTCTCTGTACAGCGCCAGTCTCAGGGAGCTTGATTCCAACAAGATCTCTATCTACATGATTTGAATACACGTTAAAATGCAAGGAGCACCAGTCTGTTTGGCAAGAGTGGTTTCTATAGCCTCAGATTCAGGCAACCTCGGGTTGAAAATATGTGTGGGGTGGGGGTGGGGAGTTGAGAAAGTTAAGGTTTCTTTTTTCTTACTCTATGAGCAGTACAGTGTAACCACGGTTGATCCAGCATTTGTAGTATGTTATGTATCATAGATAAAACATGCAGGAGACTATGGGTAGGCTACATGTATGCTCACATTTAGCATCTCATGTAAAGGACTTTATCATCTGCCCAGTTTGGTTGGGGAAATGGTTCTGGAACCATTTCTACAGTAGTAACAGAGGGACACTATTTTGTAGCTGTATCATGGCCTCCTTAGACAGCTTTAAAAGCTAGTGAGCTGAGGGAAGTGTACACTTGGGAATTTGATGGTCTCTTCAGTCTCTTCATTCAGTAATGAATGTCTCTCTGAAAGTTAGGAAGGTCTCTCCCCCCCCCCCCCTTAATAAAAGAAAAAACTGTTAAACTGATAGCCTTCCCTCATGCTACCGACTCTTAGGGACTAGTGTAATTTTGGTATGTATGTATTTCACTGAATTGGACTTTTCTTATTTTGAAACCAGATATCTCAGAAATAGAGTCCAACCGATCTTTTTCTCCAGAGGAGAGACGCCAGCAGTATTCTGATCAGGATTATCATTCCTCCTCCGAGAAGCTGAAGGAGAGGCCGAGGTAAGGCAATGGGCTTTGGTTTCTGCTAGTCACTGGTACATGCACTTGGGTGTGTATCACGACTGTATTACCTGCTGAAACATGATTATGGTGTATGCTTCAGCTCAAGAGAGGAGACCTCAGGCAGACTGTCCAGGATGGGTGCCACACCCACACCGTTCAAGTCCACGGGGGACATCTCGGGTGTTACAGAGGCCAACAAGGAGCCCAGGTACCAGGAGGAATCCCCAGGTAAGGCGTTAAGGTCATTCTTTTTGTATATGTATGTTATGCACAAGCTGGTTCATGCTTCCAGCCCAGATCCAGTGATTGGAAGAATTGAGTTCAGAAATATGTGCTTGATGTTTCTAGAGTGTGACTGAAAAAAAAGGCAACATTATTTAAAAAATAATTTGTCCAGTAGAGGAGGCCCTCTATTTCTCTCTTAGTGTGGGAGGTAAAATCCGTCCTAACATATGATCAGAATGGGCCACATTTTGACACATTTGAATACCTCTTCTTGCCCTCTGTCCATGTGACTATCATCATAACTCTAGATACATAAATATTTATATGTGGGGAAGACATAATATTTTCTGTCTGTAAAGAGCACTGCTTTGTGTATGTGTACCTTGTGTTTGGGTGTTTCTTTTCTCTGATTTTGAGAAACTGATAACTGTTAATGCCCTAAAGTTAAGCTTCATCTAAAATCTTTCTCTCTGCAACCCCTCTCTCTAAGAAGTAAACATGAAGACAGTTTAAGAAAGGAGTGGGCTTGGGAGCAGGGAAGGCTTGCTGTTGTTAGATGGTGGTGCATTGTGGTATCACAGTAAGTGGTTGTTACATTTAAAGCCTGTGGTTTTTGCTATCTTTATATTAAGAAACAAGCTCCAGGCCTGGACGATAAGATTTTTGTCTTGATTTGTTGTGATTTATTTTCGTGGTATGGGGATGGAACCACACTGTGCTGCATTTGAGGCAGAGCTACACACTGAAGCTACACATTCAGCCCACGCTAAGCTTTCCTAAAATCCAAAGTGCCTGGGGACTGGAGAGATGATAAGTCAAGGGTTAAGAGTTTCCCATCATCCATATGGTGGCTCTCAACCCTCTGTAAGTCTAGTTCCAGGAGATCTGATGCCCTCTTCTGGCCTCCTCAGGCACTAGGCACCCAACATAGTAAGTGTGTGTGCATGAAAAAGAAATCTCTTATGCATAAAATAAAAACAAATAAAATCTTGAAATCCACAGTTCCTCAACCCAGAACAGCTCCAAGAAGTTTTCTTCGTCCTAGTCCCGAAGATGAAGCAATATATGGGTATGTACCTCCGTTCCTCTGCCCTCTGCCCCTTCTTCCCCACCCAGCATATATGTCTTACCTGAAATCTACCACAGTGGTGCTGTTTCTACCCCCACCCCAATGACGAGTTTCTATTCAGACACCTTTAACCAACTCTAATTCCTGATGTTCACAAGAAAGAGGAATTGTCTACAAGAAAAGCAAACTTTGGGATTGGGTGAACTTTACAGCTTTGGTATCTGTCCAGTTATCTACCCGACTGCTTGTCCTGAATATTTTTCTGAGTATTTGCATCAGTCAGATGTATAATTCCAAAAGGGTGGAGCAGCTTCAGAATGCAGTGCTTCAGTAAAGACTGTAGGGGTGCGATTGGCCCGGTGAGATGGGGAAGGAGAAGGGGCCATGTTGAAAGGTGTCTAGACAGTAGATGGATTAGTTGTGGCTTCTTTGCATCTGAACTGTCTTTATTTGACTAAACTTGTGGTGGAATACATGTGGGAGGGCGTCTTTCTATCAGATAGCTAGAGTCAATCTCTAATTCTGTACTCCCTTATCTTAGATGAGTTAATGTAGTAAATTCAGTATTTTGTTCTGTTATGGGCTGGTAGACATTTCCCATCACTGTCCCAGGGAGATTAAATGATGAGAAAAATGAGAGGGAACTTCTGTGAACCACGTAGTCACTCCTGAGCTAGAAAATAGTTAAGTCTTTAATCTCTTGATGAGAACCCTCAGTTTTAAACAGTATGTTTTGTCTTTTCTTTCTGAAACCAAACCTACTTCAGCCCTAACACCAAAATGGTGAGGTTCAAGAAGGGGGACAGCGTGGGCCTCCGGTTGGCTGGTGGAAATGATGTCGGGATATTTGTGGCTGGCATTCAGGAGGGCACCTCCGCAGAGCAGGAGGGCCTACAGGAAGGAGACCAGATTCTGAAGGTAAGGAAGCCCGCCCTCGGGCAGTCACCCGGCAAGGTGCTTTGATGTATGTTTTTCAGTATAGGGTTTTTTGTTTTCTTTTCTTTTGTTTTGTTTTAAAATATATTTCTGGATGCACACACACAGAGACTTTGGTAGAAAATCCAAAAGGCATTAACTGGGGCATCTGGTAAGCATTGCTGTACCAAAAGCAGAGGGCAGAAGTTGCAGAATCATCCAGGGAATCAGACCTTAAGATGCAAGGGTGTATCCGCTCTCTGCACTCCACCCATGTGGTCCAGAGTGGGAGGTACCAAGCCTTGCTCAATAGCATTGCTAAGCTTTCCAGGGAAGTTCTGGGACCTTCTTTGGGTCCCAGAAGAGCCCAAGAAGGCTACCTGAGCGAACCTCGAGGCAACACATGATCCTGGGATCTTTTCACTCTCGGCTTCCCATGCTACTGATGATGAAAATCTCTTCAAATGCCAGCACATACTAATTTGTACTCATTGGATGTACAAATGAAAAGAAAGCCATGTTTTCAGCTACTGGGAAGCCAGAGGTTTAGAGCTTTGCTAATTAAAGTTGGAGAATAAAACAGATTTCTCTTGTGGAGAGACAGTACGTGTGAATTTTTATGAAAGAGAAGTTGAGAATTCACCTTGCATTTCAGATGCTTAATTTCTATATAAAACATTGTTTAAAAAAAAGGAGAATTGCTTCAGTAGCCAGAACTTTTCTAGAAAGTTTTTTTTTTGTTTCCTGCCATCACCATGGTGACCAGGGAGATGCTGGTGGGCACTGGCTTCTCTTGCAGTGATCCTTGGTAGAGATCAGGAGGCCTTGATCATCACTCAAGCTGACTATAAAAAGGTCTCTTTTTTTGTGAAAGGCTGAGAAAGGTTGAGTTCCCCAAGCTAGGCAGAGAGGCACAGTGAGCCAGAGCTGATACCAAATCCTCCCCACCCTACCCCACCCCTGGGCTCCCAGCACACCCAGCCAGGCCCTGCACACTGCTCTCAGATAATGAAAGTCTGTTGGGAAGAACCGCACAGTCTGACCTTGAAGTACATGAACACTGACCTAACCGTTTTCACTGTAGTGAGTTCTGTACTCCTTGGTCAGCCTGAAAACATCAAGGGAACTGTGCATAGCCTGGCCACTTTCTGTTGTTGATGGGTTTTTAAGAATGCCTCTGCCTTTTGTAGGTAAGGCCTGGCATGTATAGTATGCTGCTGTACTGTGATTGAACCCAGCAGGCCTTACGGATAACAGAAATATGATTGCTTTGATTTTTATTTATTTTTCCCTGCTTGATTTAACTGCTGCTTTGTTATTTATATGGTGTGGCTGGTATTTCTCTTTCAAAATCTGTTATGGAATGGAAGAAACGAAAAGAAAACCAAACACATTTGCTGGGGTGGTCGTGGTTGCTAAGTCACATGGATTTTAAAAACTGCATCTTATTTGTGTGTCTGTAGTGGGGGGAGAGAGAGGAACACATGTGCTGTGTCATGCATGTTGAGGTCAGAGGGCGACTTTTGGATCTTAGGGGTCAAGCTCAGGTCATCAGATTTGGTGGCGGGCGCCTTAATGCATAGAGCCAAATCACTGTCCCTGGAGTTTTAAATTGTAGCTTGCAAAGTATGTTTGTATTGTGACAGTTATTGCTTTGCTCCCAAAAGAAGGTCATAGAAATGGATAGAGGGACCCCGAAGCCCTGTGTGCCCTTTTATGTTTAAATAAACAGAGAAATATGAGCATTACAGTGTAGTGTACATAGAAAGCATTCATAGATACAGATGACACAAGGAAGGGTTAGACGCAAAGTTCTGTGACCTCTGGGGACAGAGGCAAGAATGACAGCACCTTACATGGTAACATTGTTTCAAAGAGTAGCTGATTGCCTTCCCAAATCACTCTCCTCTCCTCTTTATTTTCTGCTCCCTCTTCGACTATGATCCCAGAGTCTTATGGGGAGGGGATCTAGTATAGATGTTCTGTGTAAAGCTGAGTGCTCCACACTCCTCAGAGCTGAGTGCTCCACAGTCCTCAGAGTTGAGTGCTCCACACTCCTCAGAGCTGAGTGCTCCACAGTCCTCAGAGTTGAGTGCTCCACAATCCTCTGAGCTGAGTGCTCCACAGTCCTCAGAGCTGAGTGCTCCACACTCCTCAGAGCTGAGTGCTCCACACTCCTCAGAGCTGAGTGCTTCACACTCCTCAGAGCTGAGTGCTCCACACTCTCTTATTTTCTGTATGTTGACAAGTTATGGGTCTTTTAATTAGCCATCATTGCCTGCATAAAGAAACTTCTCAGAGTCAGATGTGGTGGTGGATGCCTTTTATCCTAGCACTCCAGGAGACAGGGGAGATCTCTGAGTTCAAGGCCAGCCTGGTCTACAAATCGAGTTACAGGACAGCTAGGGTTACACAGAGAAATCTTGTTTTGGGGGGAAAAAAAGAAAGGAAGGAAGGAAGGAAGGAAGGAAGGAAGGAGAAGGAAGAAACTTTTTTGTTCATTGTTAAGTGGTGTACTAATCTACAGACATAAGGGTAAGAACTAGTGGAATTACTATTTTCACTTAGCAAAATTTAGCACTGAGTTCTCCCTAGGGCCCATGACACAGCCAGCCATAGGCTTTAGCCTAGTTAATAGTCTCAGATCGGGTTCTAAATCCAACCAGAGGTTGATTACTGCCATTTCACTTGTGCTATTTTCTACCAGTTGGCCTGTTTGCCAGCTGTTGTTGTAGGGTTCACAGCTGTTTAAGACTTGGTGGCTTTTCTCCTCTGGGAGCCTGCAGTGAAACCTCCAGCACTGTGAAAACCTATAGCCAATAGGTAATGCATCTTCCAGCTCAGTGCATGATAGATTTCCCTGTAGCCTATGACTCGAGTATGTTACATCTTCAGTAGTAGGATCTTACCATCATGTTATTATATACATTAAAGACCCCAAATCTTCTAAAGCTAATTAAACATATTCAGACAAGTATCTAGGCACAAAATAAATACACAAAAATCACTAACCTTTTGTATACCACCAACGAACATAACCAAAAAGAAACAAGGGAAACAATCCCATTTACTATGGCCTAAAGAGAAAAAAAAAAAATCTTGGAATGAATCTAACCAAGGAAGGTAAAGACTTGTACAATAAAAATTTTAATACACCAAAGAAAGGATATTGAAGATATCAAAAGATAGAAAGGTCTCTCATGTTCATGAGTTGGCAGGATCAATATTGTGAAAATGGCCATCCTACCAAAAGTAATCTATAGATTCAACCCAATCCCTATCAAAACTCCAATGTAAATTCTTAACAGAAACTGGGAGGTGAGGGGGGTGTATGTCTCAAAATTCATATGAAATCACAAAAGACTCATGATATCTAGAACAATCCTGATGAATAAAAACATTTCTGGGGGACCACCACCTCTGATTTCCAGTTATAGCGCATAGCCATGATAGTAAAAACATCACGGTTGTGGCAGAAAGGAGACATATTGACCAGTGGGGATAGAATTGAAAACCCAGGTCAGCCCATGATAACACCTAAAGCCACACAAGTGTTGAAAGGCTAGAAATACATACTGGAGAAAAGACAGCTTCTTCAACAAACAGTGCCGGTCAAACTGGTTGTACAAGAATGAAAATAGATCATTCTCTCTTGCTCTTCACAAGACACAATCCCAGCTGGATCAGGAGCATAAAACCTGACACCCTGAATCTGACAGAGAAGGAAGGTAGAGGACATGCTGAACTTACAGGCACAGGAAAGGACTCTCTGGACAGGACCCCGGTATAAGACCTACAGTTGACACATGGGATCTCATGAAACTAAGAAGCTTCAAAAGCTTCTAGACAAAGAACGCCATCATTTGAGCAAAGAGGCCACAGACGGCAGGGGAAGAGTCTTTACAGGCTGCAGAGCGTTGGTGTCTGGAACATACTAAGAATTCAAAAAAAGAAGTAAACACTAAGAAAATAAAGACTTAATTGAAAATCAAACATGAGGGCTGCAGAGGTGACTTAGCAGTTAAGTCTGCTCTTCCAGAGGACCTGCGTTTGATTTCCAGCCCCCACATGGTAGCTCACAACCATCTGTAACTTCAGTTCCAGGGCATCCAATGCCCCTTTCTGACCTTGGGCAGCAGGCACACATGTAATGCAAAGAGATAGAAGCAAGCAAAGCACTCTACACATAATAAATACTTCTTTTATATGTTTGGGCATGAAACTAAATAGAATCTTCAATAGAAGAAATGCTAATGGTCAAGAATTTTTCTTTATCCCAAATGTTCAACATCTTTAGGCATCAGGGACGTGCAAATTAAAAGTACTTCCTGGCTTTCTAAGTTATCTTACAGCATCCTTCCCTAATGTCCCTCTCCAGTCATTGTGAGATAAATGCCGTTGATTCCTTGTTAGAAGGACCTACAGACCCGCAGTTTAATGATACAGGAGCCAGTGGACTGCCATGTCAGATTAATGCACCCAATTTCACAAACACGTGTCAAACATTTTTCTTTTTTGTTTTTGAGACAGAATCCCACTGCCCTTGAACTCATAATCACCTTGCCTCAGCCAGAAGTGTTGGGATTAGTATTTATTGTTAGCTAGCTTTTGAGAGATTGGGGTTACAGGAGAAAGGTTGACTTGAACTGTAAATGTGCCTTCAAGGTTTTATTTGAATTAATTTTCAAGAAGTATGATTCCATGTCTGCTTATTAAAGACCCCACCACTCTGTGTTGGTTATAGTTATCTGTTTATTACCTAAGTATTATACCTTTCTGGTTACCTCTTTGGGAGACTTAAAATGAAGGGAGTCAGACAGAATGACAAATTCTAATCAGTTCAGTGACAGATTCTTCATTTGAAGGATTGGCACGTGTGTTGGAAGCAGAGCCCTGAACAAGGAAGGTAAAACGGTAGTTGTAGTCATCTGGGCATATTTACCACGTCCAAGTCATCTGATACAGCTTCGAGGAATTAAATTAAGTCTGGTGGAAGGGCCATAGCAAGACTGAGGCTGTGACAATTTTATTGAGAGCAATCAGACTTTTTATACCCTTTTCGGAAACAGTGACAATTGCCAGGACCAATACAGTTGTAGTTATCAGGATACATTGAAGTTTACAAGGTATACAGGGTACACGAGATTAATGTCAAGACCAATTGTCCTGTCCAACTTCCATGTTTCTTTGAATTCCAGAACAGACTGAGAAACACAAAGTGGCCTGAGGGAGTGGCTTTGCTGTCTCAGTTTGTGCAGCAGTCTCTCAGGAACTGGAAGGCACATTGTATCCCAGGAGCCATGGACTCTATCTAACCTGAAAAACCTATGACACTTGCCTCTCAAGGCAGCTAGGTCAGGCTAATTTCACAGTTCCCTGAGTACTCACATAGCCCGGGCTAATAGAAGGTGCTGGGCAAGTGAACTGGGCAGAACCATACAGACTTATGCACCTGCTTTTGTTCTGGGCAGGCCCTCGTGGTAACAAACAGAAATTTAGGAGTTACCTTTTAAAATGTTTGGTATTACTAGGTATCAATCCTAGTACATGCGAAGTACTTGACTACTGAGTTATTTCCCTAGTCCCATGGGGACTTTTCTAGAGTGAGTGAGTGAGTGAGTGAGTGAGGTGAGTCTGTCTGTCTGTCAGTCTGTCTCTTTCTCTCATTTTTGATTTCTGGTTTTTACCTCCGGCCAGGTGAACACACAGGATTTCAGAGGGCTAGTCCGGGAAGATGCGGTCCTCTACCTGTTAGAAATCCCCAAAGGTGAAACTGTGACCATTTTGGCTCAGAGCCGAGCAGATGGTGAGCAAGTTTGGTCATCTGTTTTATTTGAGGGAAGTGGGAAGAATGAGTGGGGTATCTTGGGACTAGAGTACACAACATTAGGTCACAGGTGTGTAGAGAAAACTTAGGTACTGTTAATTTTGTTTGAAAATATTTTCTCTCCAACTACTGAAATAGCTTTGCTGGTTCAGGGCCATTTGGAGTTAAACTGCTTCTCTGACAGCATGCTTCCTCAGTGCTGAGGGAATTGTTAGAGAGTCTCTGTATGATGGGTAGTTTTGCCTCCTCTCGCCTCTCACCAGCCTCGAAAGTTGTTTCACCTTTCCTGGTGCTCTCCCGTACAGTGGGGGATAAGAATAGTCCCTTCCTGTTTGCATCAGAAGATTGATGAGCAACTGTGTTAGGCAGAGGTCTCCAGGGAAACAGAATCTTAAAGACACATTGTTAAGTTGATGTGAGTGTGCAGGTTGGCAAGTTCCACATGGGACAGACCTGGCAGAATCAAAGACTCAGTTTTGGGTTTAGCCTGAAGGCCTAACTACTAGGAGAACTGAAGGTGTAGAGACAGTAAGAACTCAGGAGAAAAGCAGATGTCCCAACTGGAAGGCTGTGGGGTGAGAACAGTAATTCCCTCTGACTTCACAGAATCTTCTACTCAGGCTTTCAACTAATTGGTTGAGGAACAATTTTTTTTGTTCCCCCAATACCCACCATGTCCTCTGAGAAAGGCCTTGTATAATGTTTAATCGATTGTCTAGGCTTTCTCATACAGTCAGGTTGAATTAAAATCCGCCATCATAGTACTTCAGGAAGTTAGTGGTTCTTCCTTCCACCCGTTGGAGCATGCTTCCACGATTCCCATAATGCACTTGAATGGGGGAAACCAGGAAGGAGTGATGTCCAGTTGACAACACAGCCAACCTTGCTTTTATTCTCCAGTGTATAGAGACATCCTGGCTTGCGGCAGGGGAGATTCGTTTTTCATAAGAAGCCACTTTGAATGTGAGAAGGAAACTCCACAGAGCCTGGCCTTCACCAGGGGAGAGGTCTTCCGAGTGGTAGACACACTGTATGATGGCAAGCTGGGCCACTGGCTGGCTGTGAGGATCGGAAATGAACTGGAGAAAGGCCTAATCCCTAACAAAAGCAGGTAACTGAGCCTACTTCCTAGACATACCTTTTAATCCCCCTTTCACCAGAAAACAACAGAGCTGCCTCTGAGGAAATCAATCCCACGTGACTTCATCATTGCACACCGTCTGTTGTTTATGGCGATAGAACCAGAACCTGTTTAATGTTGAGCACCTCGGGCTTGGTTGCTGCCCTTGGCTTATCTGAGGATAGCTTGCTGCCTTGGTTATGGGAAACACTGCGGCCCTAGCCCCTTGGCACTCCTGGTCTCCATCCTTAGGAGAGGCTTGTACACCCTAGGGACGATTGCTGGTATGGCTGTAGGATGTAAGAATGGTGATCTGTTTGCTACATGCATTCATTATTACACACCATATGAGCCAAACGTGGCGTGTTCTGTATTGAGTTATTGCTTGTGGAGTTCCTTGTGGAGTTTTCTCATTTCTATGACAAAACTCCTGAGGAAGGGCCATGGGAATGCCGGTCCTCAGCTTGCTTCCTCCCTTGTGTTCAGTGTGGACCCCAGTCTTTGGGAAGATGCTATCTATTCAGGATGGATTTCCCTTCCTATAAACACCCCCATAGGCTGACCCAGAGGTTCCATTGTGATTCTAAATCCAGTCAGGTTGACAGTAACGCTTACACACAGGGTTTTCTGGCTCCACAGTCCCCTTCATTGTCTCCATTGTCAATCTGAGTCTGCCCTGGGTTCTTTTTTTTTCTTTTTTCTTTTTAAGATTTATTTATTTTATATATATGAGCACTCTTATCTGAGTATATCTCTGTATGCCAGCAGAGGGCATCAGATCCCATTAGGGATGGTTGTGAGCCACCATGGGGTTGGCTGGGAATTGACTCAGGACCTCTGGAAGAGCAGACAGTGCTCTTAACCAGCCCCTCCTGCCCTGCCCCAGGTTCTCACATGACAGTGACTGTGTCTTAATAATAACCTGTTCCCATGCTGTAGAGAATAACTTCTTCCGGCTTCTTCTCTCAGAGCTGAGCAGATGGCCAGTGTCCAGAATGCCCAGCGAGAGAATGCCGGGGACAGAGCAGACTTCTGGCGGATGCGTGGCCAGAGATCTGGGGTCAAGAAGAACATCCGTAAGAGCCGGGAAGACCTGGCGGCTGCTGTATCCGTTAGCACCAAGTTCCCTGCTTACGAGAAGGTTCTGCTTCGGGAAGGTGAGGCAGCTGCATGGGCCCGGAAGTGATCTGCTGAGCTCTGAGCTGCTTCCGCCAGTGTCTCTGTAATCATCCAGTTCCAGCTTCACCTAAGTACTTACACCAGAGGTGTGATGAGGGAATCATATTCAGCAGGGAGCCTGAGTGTTCAGGTTCCTCAATGGAGGCAAATTCTCGAAATGTAGAAAATAATTTTAATACGGACACTCAAATATTTGCATATTACCCACTGAGTAGGGATGTGTAGCAATATAGCATCAGAGAAGAAGTTTTATAAACTATGTTGGGGAGGACAGTGAAAGCTTGTCTTTTGGGAAAGAACTGGAGTCCAGGTGGGGCAGGAAAATTCAGTTTTTTTCTGCTGAGTTTGCAGAAGTGTACACAGTGCACTTGCCTCTCATCTGGAGATTATAGGTGCACGCCTGATAACCTTTCTGTTTTTCTTTTCAGCTGGCTTCAAGAGACCCGTGGTTCTCTTTGGCCCCATAGCAGACATAGCAATGGAAAGGCTGGCAAATGAGTTACCTGACCTGTTTCAAACCGCAAGTAAGTCTGTTAGGGAGTTTTGCTCCCAGAGTATTTAATTCGAAAGTTCTCTGGCACACAAAAGTTGGAAGGATAAGGAATATACACACACTCTGCCTGGAGTCACTGTGTTCATGTTGTCAGATACACTTTCTCTCCACCACCTGCTCATAGACAGACACACATCCCCAACTTTTGAAACTGTTTGCTGAGCCAGTCGAGAATTTAAATTGCTGAGCTGTGAGGCTTCCTTCAAGAGTGTTAATCTCCTCATAATGAGAATATTCTTTTACATAATGGAAATGCCACTGTCCCATCTGTAAAAAAGAGATTTAATATTAATGTTATAGTTTGAACATGGCTAATCTGAAACATTCTAATAACTGGAACATTTTGAGGGTCAGCATGATACAGCACAAGGGGAAAATTCCACAGTCGCTCTCATGCAGGTGATGAGCATCTAAATGCAGGTGTACTGAAGATGCTCTGTCAAGTTACCTCAGTGTGTGTGCATGAGAGAGGAATGACAGAAATATGTTGGGGGGGCAGGGAGCAGGGTCCCTCAGATAGCCCAGGCTGGCCCTGAAATTACCGTGTGGCCAAGGATGACCTTCCATTTCCGATCTTCCTGATATCATCTTGCAAGTGCTGATATAGCAGGAATATACAACCAAGCTAAACCATGAGTGAATCTTATATTTAGGGTCTCCTTTTTTTGGTAGATATTTTAACTATGCATATGTAAATATTAAGAACTTGATAGCATTTCTGGTCCCTGAATTTTTCTGTTTTTTCTTTCTTAAGGTCAGGCTCAACCATTATAGTTGATATTTATGACTTTTTAGGACTTTTCATGTATGTATTTCCAGGTTCATCCTTTTAGAAAGAATTACTTGGGATATTGCTAGTTGGAGAGCATCAAGCACTCCCTGTTGTTAGGCTGACCTAACAATTTATTCTGATTAGTTTCCATTTAATAGGGCTGAGGTTGTTGTAGCTCAGTGGTATGGTACTTGCCTAATATGAGTAAAACCCTGGTGTTTGATATGTAAAACACATGCACACAAGTACTTACACACGCATGTGCACCTTCTTGTGCACACAAACACACACACACACACACAAACACATGAATGCACACATGGTTTCACTGCATGCCATGAGATGATGCCTAGTGTCATTTGTCCCATTGTACTGCTGTTAGGCCAGGGCGTTTGGTCGTCAACTCCTTTCTATCAATATTCCTTAGCCCTGGTTTTCTTTTGCAGAAACAGAACCCAAAGATGCAGGATCTGAGAAATCCAGTGGAGTGGTTCGCTTGAATACTGTGAGGCAAATTATTGAGCAGGTGAGAAAACTCATCAGAAGCTCACGTTAGTGAACGGGATTGTGGTTTGAAATAGAATGTGTATTTTAATAAGGTACTAATGATCAAAGCTCGTGTAAATAGGAGGCTTTTCACTGTGTAAGCAGGCGCCATTCTCTTGCAGAGTTCCCATTATTAAACCAAGTAACACTTAGTAGAGGTCCCTCTTTTTTGGAGGGGAATATATCCCAGGACCCCTGTTGGGTGTCTGAAACCATGAGCATACCAACAAGCCTTGTATGTGTGTGTGTGTGTGTGTGTGTGTGTGTACACACTACTTTTTCTTCACAGTATACCTGTGATAGTTTAATATAGTAATTAGAATGGTGGGAAATGCACAGCAATAACCACAAACAAAGTAGACGAGTCATAACAGTATACTCTGATAAAACGTGTACAAATGCGGCCTGTGCCCTCATTCCCACTGAGAACATTGTACTGTCCTTTTTGCGTCACTGGCTGTTGACCTCAGCTGAAACTGGAGGATGAAGCCATGCTCTAAGAGAGTTACTGCAGTCCTTCTATAAGAAGTTTTAACTAATAATAGGGAAGTGGATGTAACACAGAAAGAAATATTTTTGGCTTTTTAATGTAAATATACAGGACAGGGTATGATGATGCATGTCTTTAATCCCAGCACTAGAAGGCTGTGAGTTCAAGACTAGCCTGGGCTACATAATGACTTCTAATCAGAGTTACACAGTGAGACTCTTATCTTTTAAAAAGAAAAAGTTTTAATTTAAATACATACATTTTATCTGGTACAGTCTTTACCTGGGAAAGCAGACCCCTGGATGATGTTTTTGATGTCACCATGTGCCACCCTTTGTCCACTTGTGACAGGACAAGCATGCCCTGCTTGACGTTACCCCCAAAGCCGTGGATCTGCTCAATTACACTCAGTGGTTCCCAATTGTGATTTTCTTCAACCCGGATTCCAGACAAGGCATTAAAACCATAAGGCAGAGGTTGAGTCCAACATCCAATAAAAGTTCTCGAAAGTTGTTTGACCAAGCCAACAAGCTCAAAAAAACTTGTTCTCATCTTTTTACAGGTAAGTGAAGTTCAAAAAGCCCACACTCAGAATGAGAAATAAGGAAATGATCATGAGTGTGGGATGTGGAATCATAGCTCACAACTCGTTCAAGACTAGTTAACACTGGAATGGATATTTAGACCTATGGCTCTCGTATGTTAAACTTTATGATTTTGATAGCTAGAAATGATTGTCAAGATGCAAAACCTGGTAATTGGTTACCTTCATGGTGCTAGATTTTTGTGTTAGCAAGGCTAATGAGTCCCATGTCTCTGTTAACTTCCTGTTGCTGTTGTCTCCTTACTGTTGGTGATGTATTAACTATGTGACAGGAACTTATTGTAGTGACCTACAGTGTCTCCCAGATAGAGTCCTGAGCACGCTGAATGTGGAATATTTAAACATTTCTACTTCTATTCTTGAAGTGTAATGTTACTGTGAGTAGTTTTTTTTTCTTAATTATTACCCTTGTCTTTTACAGATAAATACTACATAAAAGTCTTTGTAAATTATCTCATAGGCTTGCTAGAATTCGAATAGCTAATCTGCAGTTCGGGGAGCATGGAGTACTGGTACCCTGGCCAAGCACCGAGATGCAGACGTGGGTGCTGTGTACGGGAGACTTTAGAGCTGGCCTCTACTTGGTCTGCATCTGAACTCTTCCAAAATAAGATATTTTTAAAACGCCAAAAATAAAGCCACATTGCAGCCATTGCTCATGATAGTGAGAGGGTCTAAAAATAGGACCTTTTCTGTACAGTCTTCATGAGTAAGCAGTCTTCATGAGCATGATATCATTGAGAGTGTAAGAGAGTTGCACAATTCTTTTAGGTTGTGCAAGGCTCTGTTTTATGGGAGCACCATAAGGATACCTACAGAGATGCCACTTTTCTTGTTCGGTGATTTTAGAGGTCAGTGACAGTTGTCTCAGATGCTTGGGAAGAAGATTGAGGTGAATGGATCATGCGTAGGTCGCTTATCCCTTGTCCAAAGTCCTCACAATCAGAAATGATTCATATTTTAGATTTTGGAGTGCTTTTATAAGCATTTTAGAGATGAGACTCAAGTCTGAACATGGGATTCACTTTTTTTTTTTTACATGTTTTTTTTACATGTGTGTAAAAGCCTGCAGGTGATTTTCTGTGATCATCTTGATAGTTCTGAATAAGACAGTTTCACAGTGTGGGATTTTTACTTGGATGTTGTGCACACTCTCAGAAAGTTTCAGACCTCGAAGCACAATCTGATTTGAGATTTTGAATGAACTAGTACTGTATTAATAATTCCTTATTTTGACAGATGAGAAATGGAACTTGAATGATTATGAATGTGAAACCAGGAGACTCATTTAACCTCCCCACCCCCACACTTTGGTCAAGTCCGCTGAATGGCTGGGTGTTTCCCTTAGAGGGTCAGATTTGAGTTTTATGCAAGGATGTGAGACATCAATAGGTGGACTCTAGGGTTGTGGAAGAAGAGCCAGGCTTCTGAAGACAGGACAAGAAGGAGACGGTACTTCCTGTCCTAGCTAGGAGTCAGCGTTGTTGGCTCTGGAGCGCAGGCCACAGTCACTGGCAGAATCTGTTGAGGATCTGGAGGGATGGCATATATGGAAGGGTTGGCCCTGGATTGGATTACAAGATGCTTGAAGGAAGAAGAGACATGACTGACGTCATCACGGGCCTCAGAAATAGGCTCTGGCACAGCACAGCGTTTACTTTCTTTTTTAAAAATTTACTTATTTTATGTGTATGGTGTTTTGCTTATGTGTGTATATGTACCATACACGAGCAGTGCCTGAGTAGGCCAGGGAATCAAACATGGGTCCTCTGGAAGAGCAGCCAGTGCTCTTAACCAGTGAGCCTTCTCTCTAGCTCCAAGTATATCCTTTCTGATGTAATGCTGATTGAGAAGCAAGAAATTCAGAGCTGAAGCTAGAGGGGGCCGTGGACGGTACTGAGATCAGAGCTCTTACTGTACAAGACTGGAGCCCAGCTCTTACTGGTACATCACATGCTTGATACAGTGAGCCATGTAGTCTTCAGGGCAGAAGGTGCAGACTCACTGATAGCTTGGACCGAGAAGCCCGTCTCTGCAACTCTCTTTGATACAGTTCTTCCGCTGTTAAGCTTGACTCCTAAAAGCTGTGTAGAGGCTACACAAAGCCTTTCACCCCAAGTCCATGCACAGGCTGAGACTGGTCCTTAGGCCTAATCAGAAGAACCATGAGCAGAATTAACATCTTTATGAATTAGTAAGTGGGAGTACTAGATTTGCTTTGGTGAGCACAGTTTAAAGTCATATTTTCTGTCTTATGTGGTCTTCTTAGGCTCAGTATCCCATTCCCTGGTTCATTTTTTATAGTAGTAAGAAAATGTTCCCACAGAGAAGATTTTTTAATTATGATATATTAAAATATTTTTCATTATGAGCCTGACATACTCATTAAGACATACTTTATTTAGAGACTTTTTCAAAGCAAGTTGGCTTGTCAAAACACTTTAAAATGTTATGCCTGCATACCTCTTTCTCAGGGGAAATATTTAGTATAGGATGCATTTATGCATATATATCATAAAAATGAAGTTTGAATTGTGTGTGTTCTTAGAACCTTTGAAATGCTCAGTTCACAGCTTAAAGATTGCCTTACAAACTTGGAGACCTACACTAGGCTGCCTTTGTGATAAACTGGCAAGGGGTAGTCTGGCTATTACATCTGCTTTCCAGGCTTCGTCAAAATGAGGTTTTTGGTGTTCAACCCTGGAATTTTGGAGGAGCTTCCAAGTGCTGTTACTGTAATTATTATCTTTCTACATCACATTATTGAAAAATGTTTTCTGTGGTACCTTTTATCTGTTTTGGTCATTCTTTAGTCTTTGAAAAGTAGCAGTGGGAAATAAATCTTGTACCCGCTGAGAAAAATCCAAACTGCAGTAGTACTTGGATTCCTAGGGAAGTGTAGGGAGTATTGGCCACAGGAAAGCCATGGGCTGTGGGGTGGCTTGCCCTTCATGCTGTTGTCGGCATGTGAGTTAAAGTGACCGCAGCATACCTTCCTGGGGTGTAATTTTTACACTGTGCCATTGACCCATTTGAAGGGAACATTTCAGTGGGGTTTAGATCCTTCAGATTGTGTAGCCATCACCACAGTAACTTTAGTCAGAAACCTTGTTCGTTAGCAGCTTGCATGGTGCCTTTTGGTGCCTCTGTGACTAGGGGTGGGAAGGTACTGCCGCACATACCAGAGCTGGGCATGGCTCCCCTGAGGTATGACCATGCTAGCAGGGACATGGCAGCAGGAGGATCCTTTCAGAATGTCAATTCCTTGAGTTTGACAGTCCCAGTAAGTCTCTTGAGAAAGAGGTAAAGTGTATGCCTTGGATACGCCTCTGAGTGGGGCCTAGAAAGGTGGTGTCTGTGGAACTTTGATAGCAATCTTCCAGCCCTCGGTTGCCAGTGAGACTCTGGGGTTTTGTTACATTCACCTTGACAGAGGCACAAATGTGTGTCTACGTTTCTTAGCCCCTAAACTTCAGGTTTTCTTTGTGATGAATTCAGACTGTATCAGACAGCTGCTAATAGAAACCTGTAAAGGGCCACTTAAACTTTCTTCATATACCTAGCACAAGTCACTTGTTTAGTCCCTGGGGTGCAAAGTCTCACTTCCATATTTGAATCTTGGTCATATGCTAGCTATGATTACAGTAACCTTTGTGAAGTACCATGATAAATAAGGACACAAGGAAATCCGTGACATCAAGGTTAATTTCCTTGGGCTACCTAGTGTATCAGTTCTGTCTGATGCTGTGAATAATTAATAACTTAGGAAATTGTAAGCTCATTCACAATTGCCCAAGGTCAGAGGTGGAGCTTTTTCAGGTTTTCAAGACAGGGTCTCATGTATCCCCAAGCTGGCCTCAGACTTACTGTAGCCAGGGATGGTCTTGAACCCCAGATTCTTGCCTCTACCTCCCAGGTAGGTACAGATGTACATCACCACACCTGGCTTTGAGATTAGAATTTCTTTAAAAAGTCAGATGTGATTAAAAGAAAACTTGAAGCTCAATTACTGAGAAATTTTGTGTAACGATTCATTTGGCTTTAGAAAAGATAATGCACTGCCCGCTCCTTTTTTTTTTTTTTATTGGATATTTTATTTACATTTCATATGTTATCCCCTTACCCCATCCCTCACCCACCCGGG